ATTTCAATTCAATGCATTCTACAAGATCCGAATTTAGATTTTCCAAGTTAAACTGCATTATTTTTAACCTCTATCCTCAGGAATAGCAGGGATCTCTAATATACTTTCAGGCTTCAAGCATAATTTGGCCAGATTTCCCTCCTGGTCCGTCTTCTTTAAAGACCTCTCAGCTCAACCTCCTCCCACGCGGTCTTCCCTGAACATCTAAAACCACTGAGATGCCCACCCATTCTGGCAACTCATAAATGGGAATTTCCCTTCCTGTTTTATAAGCTCTGAAGTGAATTTTTAAAAAGCTTCCAGTTGCCCAACATTTCTAAAGATTGCTAGGGCAAAAATACTGTGTAGGCTTTTGCCACCTTTCCTTAATTCGAAATGGGTCTTTGACTCATGAAATGGCTTCACAGTGTCCAGTGAGTGTGTCACTGGGGCTGTGCAGTGACCCTGAATCAGCCACCTGGCCGTGTTCCCAGGACCCTGGGCAGCAGCTACACCTAAAACCAAGTTCTTCCTCTTAAATATATTTATATTCAACTTCTGTGTTCATACATTGTTTTAGCACCTTCTGTTTGTAACTTTCAGTATTTATACAAAGTATTGTCTTAATCTGGTAGTGTTTTGGTACTAAAGTTTTCTACAGACTGTTACGGTGGGGTTCTCTTTATTTCCTATCATGCAGTATATTCCACAGTATCTTCAGATATTGCAATAATCATAACTCTCTCTCTCACACACACACACACACACACACACGTCTCTAGTACAAATGTCTCATAATCTAACATATTCAGTTGCTTAAATTAGGATGCTGGAAAGAACCAATTACACTCCTATGTTTTACTTTTTCATTCTATTTCAATCATCAGAAAATCTTGTGTCTCCCACTTTTAAAATAATCTTGATTTCGTGGACTTTTTGTTGTTTTCATAGTTTCTCTCCGTATCCAATTTGCCATCCTTCTCATTGAAACACTATAACATCTTAAATGGTCTTCATGATTCCAGTTTTCTCAAAAAGTATCTTAAAGAATGAAAAATATCTTCCTAAAATGAAAACAGAATCCTGAAATGTAATCAAAATTCATCACGCCTTCCAAGAGTAAAATATGAAAATAGAAACAATGTAAAATACAAAATGAAACAAACAAAAAGCCCACAGGTGGCTTATATCTTAAAATAGTGGTACTTATATTAAATATAAATGGCCTAAATAAAGCAAATGAAAAGTCTCTTCCAAAGGCAGTCCATCAAGGGCCAGCCAGACAAGGCGCTTCATATATTACAGAATTCCCCTGCCTCTACAGAAGCTAGGCTGAAGCCTCTCCTCTGCTTACGACATTCATCTCTGGGAAATCGTCCAAGCAGCTGGCAAAATGGAGCCCTCCCCACTGCGCACATGCTGCTGAGATCCTCACATTTTACTGGGCAGTCAGTTTACAGCTTTTCTGCTCCAGAACCACCAAGTGTTAAATGGTTGAGAACAGACCCCATGAACACCGTGACAACCTCCGGTGGAGAACGAGAACACCCATCTCTCAGTGGTCACCCGGTGACAGCTGGTGTCACTGTCTGGAAGAGACACAGGCATCCCTTTGTGCCACAGGTCTGAGACTATGATCAGCTTCTGTGTAGAACCAGCCCGCTGAAGGACCTGCACAGCAGGGCAGGCTGTGGCCCCAGGCAACGGGCCTCGCTCAGCCTCGCATTTCTGTCTCTCCTGGTCTAGGACCTTGCTCCTGTCTCTCTCTCTCCCTCTGTCTCTCTTCCTCCCTCCCTCCTTGCCTCCTTTCCTTTCTCTTTTTCTCCCAGACGTGATCACCCCTTGCTTTAACAAGACCCAAGAGGCCTCTGCTTTCTGTGTGAGGACCAGTGACCCTGTCCCTCTTTCCTTTTCCAACGCTTCCCCTAGGTAGGTTTACTTCATTGAACTTATTTCTGCTTAAGTTCCCACTTTGTTTTTGGTTCTTTTTGGGGGCAGTTGAAATTCCACGTGCCTGCGTGCATCTGTGTGTGTGTGGTACTAGAGGCTGAACCCAGGACTTTGCACTGCGTCAAATTCTGTTCTTCATTCTTATCTCTCTTTTTCTTCTTTCTTTTTCATTTTGAGGTGGTCTCTCAGTAAATTGCTCAGGGTGGGCTTGAGCTTCCAATCCTCCTGCCTCAGTCTCTCCTAACGCTGGAATTACAGGCAGGCAGCACTACACCCACACAGATTTTGTACTTATTTATCCAATTAATAAGGAATTCAATGTGCTTTTTAAAGCCATGGAACCCTATTATAATGTCATTATTTTTCATGCATTTCAAAATATTCTGCATCAGCTCAAGGTTAATCTTGGCCTCACTTGAGTGAGCTGGTATTTGGGAGGCCTTGTTTCATCACCGCTCACGTGAGAGCTTTGTTTCCTAAATCCACTGTAGTCACTTAGTTATTTTTACTACTTGTTGATTCTCAGAGAATGAAATATACCTTGATAGTATCAGTTTTAAGTAAAAGACACAAGGTTTCCTAAAACATTTAACCTTTGGGCAGACAAGCTTTCTGTTTAATAATACGCAGTCAGTAGAGACTCTAGGGCGTGCCATGGATTCACAGCACTTTGAAGTGTGTCCTGGCTGTGCCCTGCCTGAGGGAATGGCAGCATGTCAGGCAGCCCACAGGAGCAGTGTTCCAAAGTGTATTCTGTTAAATCATTTGAAAGACCTTATTTTCTCAAGAAATCTCGAGTAAAGTAAGTGCTAGTGGGAACTCCTTGGCTTACGGATAAATGTAAGATTCAGGAGAGAGGCGTCTCGCGGCTATGACCAGGGTGACTGCAGAATGTAGATCCCCACTGCCCTCAGGCTGACTTTGTCCCCCTAGCTAAGGGCAGTGGGTGGCTAAAGGAGCTTACACAGTTATGTCCCTCCAGGACTGACCTCCTCACCATTTCCACAAGCCTGACCCTGCTCACGAAGGTCGATGGCTTAAAAGTTTTAAATATCTAAATTTGCAGAAACTTTTGTACTCTACCATTTTAATGCTTCTTTCCAGAATCGCTTTCTTACTTTCTGCTAAACATTGTTTCACTAATATAAGTTTAGTTTCTCTTTGGACAAGAGAACGCCTATCTCCTCAAAACAAAAGATTCAACAAATGTCTTCTTTTTTTCAAAATCTTATGTGAGGCACCTGAATTTCATATTCACATCTCCAGGCTAAAACAAGTTTTAATCTGCGGCTCTCAAGGATCCTGGTGAAAGGGCCGTGATCCGTTCAGCACAGCGAGCAGAAGGTGAGGAAGGTGAGGCGTGAACTCAGTGCAGAGCCCTTCCCAGGACAGGCAGCTGCCAGCGCACTGGGTCCAGGGACAGGGGGACTCGCTTCTCATTTTACCCCCATATGAAAAGTGTGTTTAAACAGCAGGTCACGAACAGCAGCACAACTGTTGCAGGGCACGCTCCTTTCCCTCAGTAGGGAGCAGAGACAGACATCAATGTTCCAGGATCCTGAAGAGGTTTCCTAAGTTCCCAGCCCAGCAGGGTCCTCTGGAGCAGACCTCCACCCATGTGTTTCATATTTTCGTGTTTTCCTCACATCCTTGCTCTCCTCCCTCAAGGTTTCCTGTAACTCAGGCAACTCTCAGGTGTGGCTGTTAGAAACCTGTGTTTACCAGAGGCTTCCAAAAAGGATGGGTGAGCTCCAAGTCGTCCAGATAACAGAAGGCAGACAGGACTTCGAAGACTCACCACAACTCACAGGCCACAGGCGTCTCAAGAGTAAGAGGCAGGGGACCAGGGATTTAGCTCAGTGGTATAAGTGCCTGCCTGGAAAGCGCAAGGTCATGAGTTTGATCCGCAGTAAAAAAAAAAAAAAAAAAAAAAAAAAAATAGTAAGAGACAGGAATTCAGACTTCCAATTGGTTGACACAAGATCATCAAGAATAAAAGTCCAAGAAGGGGAAAATCCCCCTGAAATGACAGGGTCAATGGACCATTCAGCACAATAAAATAAAAGCCAAATATAACAGAAGTTTCCAGCTCCACAGCTGTGGAATCACACTCCCACCAGAAAGTGTACATCAACTTAAAGTATGCTGAAGTATAAATGTTAGCATGTCTGAATATATAGTTCATTCTTTTTTGCTTACTTGATAAATGATAATAAACTTGATTAGGGGAGTAGCTGACATTGATGGTAATTGGCCTGAATAACAGTTACTCCCTGCAATATTTCTTTCTGGGAGTAGCAGAAGCACTGCTTAAGAGTTAGAAGTAGATAGAATACCTTTTCTCTCCTTAGGTGCTGCTCCACAATAAAACAAACACATTGAGCATGTTAATTATAAGAGCTTTTAACCTGTCTGTGAGATTCGTGAGGGGTGGGGCATTTCAAGTCTACAGATGTGTACATACGAAGTCAGAGACAGCAGCCATCACTTCCCAATTTGATTTTTAGGACTTTGTGTTCACATCTAATGTTCTATGCTCTCAGCACACTTCTTTTGGGAGAAAGTCAGCCAGAGTCAAAAGTTATCAGTGAACTAAAGAGCATATGAAACTGGAAGAAATGTCTAAGTAAAACTCACGACCAGGAAAAATGATTTCTCTGTTTTTTTTTTTTTTCCACTTTTATTTTATTTGTTCAGCCAGACTCATTTTTGGAGGTTGGAAAATCAAGTTAAAAATTGCCCAGAGTTAAGCTGGCCATAATGATGCAGACCTGTAACCCCAGCCCTGTGGGAGGCCGAGGCAGGAGGATCACAGGGCTGAGGCTCATCTGGGAAATTTAGCAACTTAGTGAGACTGTCTCAGATTTTAACAATAAAGAAACAAATAAATTTCTGGGGATACAGCTTAATGCTAAAGTCCTGGGTTCAGTCCCAAGTACAGGAAAAGAAAATGTGTGGATTTAGTTCCTACGTAACTATTTATAGCTTTGTGCTCTTAGGCTTAATTTGCCTTTATATGGTGAGGCTGTTTTTTAACACATAGTCTCATTCGCTCTAAGAAAGATAAAGGCAAACCATGCTTCTGGGGTCCACACGCTGAGCCCTGCTCTCCACCTGCAGCTTGATCAGATGCCTGGAGCCTGAAGTGCTCGTGACTCAGGGTTTTAAAGAAACAAGTCCTGACTCTCTGGGTCTGTGCTATTTCTAAGACTGTGTCTTCAGTAAACAAAGCTGATGGTTCAGGTAAGCAGAACAGGGCTGGGGCTGTTTCACTCACTATAGCAGTGGGAACACTCGGGTCTCTGTTTCCCTTTGGAGATGCTGCTGGCTGCGCTCAGGACCAACTTCAGGACTGGGCTTGGGGAACGGGGACAGGAGAATCATAATTTTGCTTCCAGGGAGAAAGAACGCACAATTTGTCTCGGATTCAAGAGTCTGGTGTCTCCAGGAAACTCCACATGGAGGCAACCTAGTTAGCTTGTACACAGATGGAATAGCCTTCCCCAAGGGATGACCAGAAGCTTTCAACTTAGGGAATGGCTGAAATCTGGGCCTTGAGGCCTGGACCAGGCCAGAAGATGTCACTGGAAGCCATGCTGAGGTGACAGGAAGGTGGTGGCAGGTACTAATCTAATTGTAATACACAGAAAACACAGGCGGAGGAACTGCCAGACTGCGTAGACATGAAATAGGAGATTTCTGAATAAACCAGGGTTCAAATAGGAAGTCACGATCCAAGTGTGAAATACATTTCTAACTGAATGATAGTGAAATTCAGACATACCAGAATTTGTGGAAATAGTGATCACAGTACATACAAAATCATGCTTGAAAAGGAATTACAACCAAACTTCAAAAATCAATGATACAAATTTGTAGTTTAGGAAAGCAGGAAAATAATGAATCAATTAAGTTGATGAAGATAAGTTATGAATGTAACAAAAGAAGTTAATTGTGTGAAAAGCAAATATCACAAAGAAAGCAGTAAATGAAAAGTTTGTCCTTTGCATAGACTGATAAAATTGATAGATCTGTAGCAAACTTCTTTAAAAAAGTAAAAAGTAAAGAAAATCTTCGGTCAGGATTACAGCATGAATATGGAAATGCAATGAGCTCATCTTGCTGTTGGAAGACAGCTGTGGGAGCGTAAGATGAACATCCCCAGAAGAGTGAGCCTGGCAGAGAGTGTGACCATTTCCAAAACCAAACAGAAATACACAACATGAAAAAGCTGAACTCATACAGCTTAATATTAACTAATAAATTAATTTCATCTTTAAAAACTTCACAAACAAAACTATAGCTCTAGGCAATTTGACATACCAGGTTTCTCAATAATATGCAGAAGAAATAGAATCAATCTTATGGTAATTCTTACTTAGCAGGACTGGAAAGGGCTACAAAACTTAGATGATTTTCTAAATTTTACAGGATATAGTTAAATTTCTAATAGGAAAGGTTTTGTAGATCCTATATGAGGTAAATTTGTATTTTGTACCAAATTTGAAAAGAGCATTGTTGTAAAATGTGAGGCTATGGATTAGATATGGTTTCAGTGTTTCCCAGTGCAGTAAATGATTTCTTGTCTAATTGCCTGATGTTAGCACGTGGCTTAGAAATATTTGAGTTGAGCTTTGGCCTCAACTAGTGTCAGAAAGTAAGGAATTTCCAAAACATACACAAACACAGAGGCACGCATGTCAGAGGGTCACAGACATTCAGGGATAACTTCTCAGTCATCAAAATTGGAATACTTTGATTGAAAATATGTTGAATTAAAATCCAAAATGTAATAGATATCTGTGAATACATAACAATGGATTAAATGAATTAATAAGTGGGAAAAAGAGATGATGGTCATCATGCAGAGTAATTGCAAATACTAAAAACCCAAGGTGCTAAGAAGCCCATGTGTGCTTCTCACACAGCTTCCTTCCAAAGTGCACAGTGGACAAGTTCCCTGGACCGAGGCCCCAGAAGCCTGACAGTGCCAATCTGGACAAGTGACCAAAGACCACATTGCTGGCTCCTGCCCTTGGAACAGTGTGACAGAAATGGCTTTTGATCTCTGTAGTTTCCACCACCACTGTTCTCACAATAAAATCAGATAAATTCCTAAATTCCAACAGTGCTTCACCCTAGCAATGACTGCCTTTTGGTCTCACCCTGAGGAGACAGGAAGGAAGACTTTGGAAAGGACAGATGAGCGTATGGCATGAACATTATTCATACTGTGAGGTTTCATGGCTGTGTATTTTACTGCCAAATACATCAACCTGTATGCATCAAATATATACAGCTTGGTGGTTTGTCAATCACATCTTAATGAAATGGCTCGGAAAAACAACTACTGTCTTTAGCTAATGATGGTGTGTCAGGATTGGCTCAATAGGCATAATAAAATATCATACTTCTGTAAGACATTTATATTATGGAACGGGGCACACAATATATATGGGGATTCTATGTAGTATATTCTCAAATTTACTGCAACTCTTCAAAAGCAAATTTCATTAAAAAAATACCCCTTGAAGCCAAATCATATTGTCTGTGTGATATTATTTTCATATAGTACACCCTTTCATAGTTAGCTGGTGGAGTAGAGAACTAGACCAGAACTGGACCAGAACAGTGATTTCGTACAAACCTGCTTTGTTTCTGCACAACTGAAAGGAAATTCCACTGCAAGCTTGTTGAGCTGACCTAATAAAAGCACGATCTCCCTTCTCACGATGATCTGTGCATATTGTGGGGTGTAACATTCAGCACATCAGGTGTTTTCAGTCGAGTTTATTCTATACACTTTCAGGGGAGATGAAGGATTAAGAATGCTTTTCAGGCAGATAGAATAGATCTATTATTTATACTGTATTATTTTTTAAAATTATGCCATTACATATGGACGTTAATCACATAGAATAATCTGTGTCCTCTCTACAAGTTGCTGTGTACTTTTTCTGTTTCATGAAGAAAGAGGGCTGGAGTATCACAGAGGCTCATTGGGAGAGGTGACTCCCTCCACCTAGTATGTGTGCGAGCGTGGCCTGTGTGTAGGGATCCACCGACCTCCCCCTCTTTATATCTATTCATACGCTTGCCTGTGCACAATGAGAAAGCGCAGGACCACCATCCGGCATTGTAGAACAGTGACCAAGTAACAAATTGAAAATAAACCTTCACTTTTACTTTGTTAGATTAAATGCAATAGAGTCTCTCATCAGGAGAAATATCACAGAAGCCCTAAGTTCTCATGGAGCTGCACGGCTGATGTTTTCATCACACTTCCTCGGCCTTACTGGGCCTGGTGACTGTTCCTCCGCGCAGTGTGTGATGAGCACAGTGGCAGGGGTCCTGGACCCTGGGCTGTTGGAACTGGGAAGCACCGGAGGTGAGTTGCCGGTGGGTCCCTGCTGCTCCCCTGTGCCCACTGCCCTATCCATGCTGGTCCTTAGGTCCTCCTCCCTGCCAGCCCTGCCAGCCCTAGATACTCACAAGAGCTACAGGCCAAGGTCTGGTAGAAACTTGCTCCCCACCACCTCTGGGAAAACGGTCTCAGGAACCTCTTGCTGCCACAGTGCGGAGACAGCTGTGTCTGCCAGCGCTGCTGAGGGCAAAGGCATCACTGCATCCCAGCAGCTCAGGGCTCTGCAGGTGCAGGGGACAAAGTCACCTGTGGTGGGGCGACGGCCAGGAGCTGCGTGTGTACCTGCCTCACTGTGACTGCAAACAAGAACTCCACTCTTCATTTCAAAGAGAGTGCTCATTACTCAGAGTAAAACACGTCCAGGCATAAATAACACAGCCACTGTTGTCCAGGCTTTTCCTTACAATCACTTAGAGTTGTATGACTGTTAAAAGCTTCAGTGATTCATAGCTTGGAATATTACAAAGGAATTATCTTGGTCATAATATCAACCTAACAAAAGGAAGCAATGTTTTCGCTGCTTATGCATTGCTGAAATAATCACTTTATATATTTATTAACTTTCTTATGTGAATTGATTTTCATCTCATTGCATATTATGTGTCTACATTACATTTTGAGATCTATTTAAGGTATATTTACATCTGGTAATTTTTAAATGTATTTTCTAGTGTTTTTCTCAGTTCCCATTTAAAAATATTTTTGTCATAATTTCTATTATTTCTTTCCCTTGCATATTTTTCTTCTTTCCTCCTTTTCTTTCTCTCCTCATTTTACTTTTCAAAATTTTTTAAAGATTCCAGTTTGGGTATAATATGCTGTATTGTTGAATCTATCAGTGTTTATGAATTTTACCTTTGAGATCAGGTTTGGGGGTCCTCAGCACGATTAATTCAAATAAACTTCCATTTGCACTCTGTTCCAGGCTTCTCCCCAGTGCGTGTCCACTCCTTGGCCCTGTGACTGCATGTTGCTGCAGCTGGCTGCCTTTTCAGATGTGGCTGTGGGGTCAGAGGCTGCACACGGGGACCTGGCCTAGCTGAGGAAGGAAGGAAGGTAAGTGATCCTAACAGTTATTTTTAAGTGAAATAAGAGGGCTCATCCTTAGGAAGAGACAGTTCTCAAATTAAACTACTTCCAGAGAGTAAATAGATGAGGCATGGAGGGCATGATATGACAAAGAGAGAGGAGATGGGTGTGTAGCCTGCTACTTGGATGGAGGAGTGACCAGCGGCCAGGCAGCTAGCTGGGTCTCAAGGACATGGGCTGCTGCCCAGAGTGCTGAGCTCCCAGGGTCCCATTGGGCTCTGGTGTAGCAGAAGATAGCTGCTTAAAGGTCTCATCGTAGACCCCTGGCCACAGCCAGGCCTTCTTGAGTGTGTTACACAACGCCAACTCCAGGGCAGACTTCATTAATTCCATCTGACATAGGATGAGCTTCTGATCAGCCCCTGCACGGCTCTGGAGGAGTCTGGAGCTGCAGTTCAGACTGAAGGCCACTTGTGGGGGTGTGGGCATTGAGCGTTTCTTGGAAACATCCTAAAATCACTAGAGGATTCATCAGTGGAGCAAAATGTTTCTCCACTAGCTGAGAAATCAGGGGAAACTCAGGGGAGGATAAACTGAGGCATGGGTTGACTCTTGGTTAGAACAAGAATTTTTCTGTTTTCATTAGCTGTACATGATGATGGTACTAGTACTTAATGCCAGGAAACACTGCATGGCTTCTGTCTGCAAATGTGTTCGATGTAAACATTAATTTGGGAAGAATTTCCTGGTTCTCGATATTCATTCTCCCCATGGAAGACTAAAAAGTCTCTTCCTGCTCAGTACATTCTTACATGTGACATTCTGTCACATTTTCTTGGAGGTCACACATAGAAAACAGTTATTGCTATTTAAAAAATATATGCACAGTCCCAAGGATGAGGTTCTTAACTTTATAACTGATTTCCCACATGCACTGCAGGTGCAATAGCTTTTGCCACTTGATTTTCTCCATTCCTAACTTAATTAAACCTCTTTTAGCTCCTGTGTATTCCGTAGATTTTCTTGAATCTTTAGATACAAAATCTTTCCATTGCAAATAATGATAATGATGCTTATTCATTTTTTATGAGAATGTTTAAATACTTTGACCATACATTATTCCAGTGACTAAAATCTAAAAACATGCTGAGTAGTAGGGGTGAAAGTGAAACGATTTATTTTCTTAATAAGAAGGTATTAAATTTTCAGTGCTCTTTCTATATATCATAAAACAGGGTGAAGTTTTACACTTCTGGTCTTTTTATAATTTAATTATTATGGTTAACTAATTACATAGACATACAGAGTCCTTCACTGCGGAACATGGACATGTCACAGTTGAGATTATGTAGACTTTTGGTGATTTGCTTCATGTTGTCCTCAAGATTATGCTATTTTACAAACTGAACTGCAAAATATTTTTAGCCTCTGTGTCCAGGGGGTCCAAGGAAACCAGATAAAAGTCACTCCAGTGGAAATCATTTGCTTGGATAAATAGTTGAAAATACTTTTTCCTATGTCACATTGTCTCTTTGGGTTTTTGGTCCTTTCTCTTGTGCCATCGTTAATTTGAAGTCATGCATGTGACATGCTTTAGCATCTGTACACTATTCCCACCTGAAAATTTCAGTGGACGGATGCAACTGCAAGCATAGGGTCCACAGCATAATATAATAGCCAGACTGTCAAAGTACCATAGTAAGGAATCTGACTATTAACAACTGTGAACTTGTTAAGTTCTCAGCAACCACCATGCTAAATCCAGCGGTAAGATTCTTGCAAAGTCCCTGCTGCTCCTGGAGACCTCCTGTGTCAGGTGAGTGCCAGGCTGTCCTTCTTCTGGTCTCTCTCACTGTGACTCACACCACCACCCGACATATTCACAGTGTGCTTTGAGTGCCAATCAGCATGGGTGTTATGGAAAAGTAATTCACAATTATAGATAGCAAGCCCTGTACTGTGGCCTGCACGTTTCTGCACGGGGACAGGGTGGAGGATGGTCTCTGCAAGGTGGGGCCTGCTCCTGGGGTGACTCGCCAGCAGCCAGACTATGTGGGCTTTATTTCTGTTGGTACACGTGGTACAGGGGTCTCAGCTAATGTGAATCTGCCTTCGTAAAATTAATTGTGTTGGTACGTTTTAGATACACATAATGATCACATTCATCCAAGGGAATCTGTACCTTTCATGATATATCCTGATTTCTCTTTTTCTTTGATTTCCTCCCCCTCCCTTCAACCCCTCTTTCACTCCCTATTTACAAAAGCATTGTTTCCATTTTTCCTTCTAATTTTTTTTTTCCCTGCTCTCCTCCTCCCTTTTTTCCCTTCCCATTTGAACATCTTCTTCCCATTTCCCAGTATCCACTATCCATTCTGGTCCTTATTCTCACTTTTGGTTTCTCACGCCAAAGAAAGATATTTACACCTGTGCACCGTTTACTTCACTGAAGAGTGTGGCTCGCGTGTATCCATTTAGCAGGAAATGCCTCACGCGTTCCTTCTGTACCGCAGAGCAGTACTGCCTGTGTAAGAGGCCCCACATCTTCCTTACACTTTCATTCATTCACTGCCGGCCTTTGGGCTGACTCCAGTCCACAGCGCTTGCCTCAGCGCCCCAGCTCCACCTCTGAGATTGCCATCCGGGTCCCCCCAGACCCCTCATGTGTGCAGTGCACAGCAGGAGCCACACTGCCGTGGGAACCCCATGCCGCTGCTGGCTGGGCAGGAGTGGGCTGGGGTGGGGACTCAGCCACAGAGTGTAGCTGTCAGCACAGGTGCACCAGTCACACTGCTGCTCACCTCCTGCCGTGCAGGTGGGTTCTTAACCACTGCACACTGACACCTGTCCGCAGCCGGGTCTCATTCTCTACCTTTGTGTTCACGGGATATTTATTCACTCCAGTGTTGAACAGAATACGAATTGGGATTAAATCTGAACAATAAACTCCTTTAGTCCAGGATAAATCTATGCCAATAAGTGTTCCTCAAAACAAATGTCTCATCAGGTAAGGTGGGGCAGACCTGCAACCCCAGAACTCTGGAAGTCTGAGGCAGGAGGATCACACATTCAGACCCAGCCTGGGCAACTTAGCGAATGTAGACAGCCCTGGTCTTAAAGTAAAAAATCAAGATGAAAGGCAAGGATGAAACTCAATATGAATGCCCTTGGAGGGAGGAAAAAACAAGAAAGAAAGGAAGGAGGGAGAGAAGGAAGGGGACAGAGAGAGACAGAGCAGAGACAGAATGGAAGGAGCTGGTTGGCCTCTATTCCAGCAAGCCTGCAGTCAGCGAAGCCCCACCCTCACAGCAGTCCCGGAATAACAAACTGGGCCACCCTGTTGCCCAGTGCTGGGAAAACACACTGAAGCATGAGCAAAGTTGTTTTTGGGAAGATTACGAATGGAAATGTAGGAATTCTTCAAATCATATCCCAAGACTTTTCTATTTCCATCTCCAGTTAGGTGCCCTGTGTGTTAGTGGACGCTGGACCAAGGTTTGCTGCGGTACTGGGGAGATCTCAGCAAGCTGCATGACCGCAGCGACATCTCAGGTCAGATGCTCACTGGACGTCCCTCAGGGGTCACTGCCTGACTGTCTGCACTTCAGGAGGGGTGAACGTGAGCAAGCTGATACACGGATGCCATTCCCACCCCAGCTGTGGGCTGTGTGTTCCCCACCTAGGGCTTGCCACCATTTGGATAAGGCCAGAACCATTTCTTACCTGCAGCCAGGGTCACCTTGAGAAAACCTTCACTCAGGCTCCTTGGTGCTCCGCTTTCTCATTAGAGAAAATCTGAAACTTCTTTAACTTACTGACCCATAAAGACACTTACTAAATGTCAAGTGTATTAAGGAACGTTCGTTTTATGTGTGTGGAGACATCATTGCTAGTGTTTTCTCCTTCGAATTTGACTTACCTTTTGATTTGTTATTGAAAATAAGATAAATCTCCTTCTTCCTTGCCACTGAGTTCGCAAACTGACCCTAATTGCCACAGGAGTGCTGGCTTCTGCCTCAGGGCTACTTCCTCATTAGAAAAGTGTATTTGTGATACATGACAGAAATTACACGCCCTCCACCTACCTGACTTTTGTGAAAGTAAAATTAAGTGTTATTAGGAAGAACATCTTCCCTGCTATGTTCTTACCATATTACATCTTTCAATACCACATTCATATAAGTCAAATCTCTCAAATATTTAAATTGGATTAATTTATTCTCATGGCTCAGGGGCAGGGCTTAAATTTATATGCAAATGTCACAACTTCTAAAGGTCTGGATTCATCTCGTTGTTGGAGTGTGGCTTTGCATCTCACAGAGTGTGCATGTCACTCCCTGAAATACAAATGACTTTCTCCACTCATCCTTAGTGCAATAACTGGACGGGAATATCTGAATTCATATACATGCATAAGATCTGCTTTATAATTCCGTATATTTTGTACAAGAGGGCTTACAATAGATATTACCTTTTACTTTCAAAATGATATCATAGATATCACGATTAAGCCGAATAAATATCTCCTGGAATACTGTGAAGCATTAATAGAATCGAAATAACAAAATATTCATAAAATAATGTGCAGAGGAAAGAGTATTTTCACACAATTGCTGGAAGGAGGACATAATTGTATACAAATTGATTCACCCTTGTTTTGAAACAACTCTGGAAATAAAAATTGTGTACTCTGTATTAAACTATTTTTAATAACAACTATTTATAGAAACATATTCTTCACATGGAGCTTAATGGCCTTTTCAGACCTTCAGAAAGATTGAGAGCGGCTTAATATCTCTCCTTTTCTAACCTTAATAGGATCGCACTCTGTTATTAAATCATCTCTAATGGGTCTGTTTTCCAGGCTAAGTGCATCCACAGATCCTTTTTTCATAATAAATTTTCCTTCAGGTCAAACTGCCTCACCCGCTGTGCCGTGGGACCTCTCCCGCTGGGGTTGAGGTCTTATTGATCAGCACTGTCTCTCATGGTTCAGGCCACCCTGCCTGACTTGGGTCGCTCGGCAGGTGTTGGCAATGAACAGTTTCCAAATCAAAATCGGTGCCCTGCATGGAGACAAGTGCTTTTCACAAGGAAGGCTTCCCAGGCACCGAACACCACAGAGGCTTTTCAGGTGTTGACAGGAAGGTGGTGCGGAAGCACCTGGCTGCTCAGCCCTTCTCCTGGCCCTCTCTGCCCCTGCTGCTCTGAGAGGCTGCTGTGCTTCTGAACTTAGATGCCTGTTCACTGGGTTCTGTCATTTAGACTTTGCATTAAACCTAGTTACTTTTGGTCTGTCACTATGCTGTTACATACATAGTAATTCCTCTAGATTTATCCTTAATTCACCAGATTTTGTGGTGAAGGTTCTTCATTAGTTTTCTTTCTTCAGTGATTTGTTGAGTTTTAAAGAAGGGACTGGATTTAAATGTGCAGAGACCGTCCAGACAAAACTATGTGCATGACAGAGAACTCCAGATGTGCTCGATGCTCAGGATTCGGACCCTGCAGAGAGCAAAGGCTGTCATTCTGAAAACGCCTTGTTCTTCAGCTATGTGGTTTTGTTTCTTGGTAGACAGAATCCCAGGTGTAAATCGTGCATATCTGGCTATGCTCTGAGGGTTTCAGGTGTTAGTGAGAAAGGAGCTGTGTCCCCACACCCTAGTCTCCGAGCTCCATGAGGGGAACTCTGAACCCTGATCCTCTAGAACCTGACCGGAGCCTGAAGCCCAGCCCTAACAAAGTCACAATCAGAGTTCCCTGCTTACTGAACTAAAAGAAAAGATCGGTATTGACAAGTTAGGAAGACCTGGTGTAATAAAGTGGAAAAGAGGAGAGGTGATACTAAGTGAAAACTTCATAATTAATTTTCAGGTTTAAAGTAATTTCTAGCAAGGGAGTGATAAAAGTTATGGTGTTTCAGGAAAGCCCATGGCAAAAGAAAGCGAAGGCTTTGGTTGGGTGAATGAAACAGATCCGGAAGTCAGCAATTGGAATGTAGTAGAACCTTAGACATCCTTTACGGGTGTTGCAGACTCCACCGGGGTCAGAGATTTTGCTCTGAAACCTGAGGTGTTTTCTCCCCTGGGAAACCTGATGATGAACAGCGAACTCAGGAATGGGGGTGAGAGGTGAAGAAGGACCACGGGAAAAAGCAAGGAGGTGGCTGTGTCATTGATGGAATTTCCTGAGCTGCTATTGTTGATGCTGTTGTTATTTCGAGTGGTTACAACAGCAATAGCAGTAACATCTAAATAAACCCTCCCTGGTGTTTTCTAAGACGTTCCTAATTAGCTAACATTTCTCTGTTTCACATTTGCTCTTCTTGTGACCTTGCAAGCTGGCAGGATATGATCACGTTCTATACATGCATGCTTCTCAAAACCAGCTGATGCATTTATTAAAGCAATTTCTACCTTCGATAGTCATGGTTTTCATCCTAAAGAGGCTTTCATTTGCCTTCACCTCCCATGCACAGTTCCCCCTGTAATTATCGAAGTTATTTCTGGGCGTTCTCCCACAGCCTTTCTCTAATAATGGACCTCCCTGCAGCCACCCCATTCCTGTTATGTGTAGATCTCCCAAGTGCACAAGGGCACTGATACTTTAGGTTTCCTGTCAACCCTGGTGAAGCCCTCAGGGGTCACCTACCAGTTTACCTCCCCCTGGAGTCAGCTGGGCTGGTACTACTATCCTGCTTTATATCAGGACATCCCTTGACCTCTTGTGGGCTCATAGCCCAGACTTTGGAAGATTAGGAGGCTCATGGCTGACCTGCTGCTAGGGAGGCCTGGCGGGAAAAGGGGCTCACTCTGCTGTGGGTGACAGGGTTCCCCCCGCCTCCCTGTAACCACTCTGCTCTCTTCTCCCCGGCCACCGTAACATGAGCTGCCTCCCCTGCCTTGGAGCCAGCAGACCGTGGATTGAAACCTCTAAAAACTGAGCCAATGCAAACCCTCCCCTTCAGCAGCGGGTGCTGCGTCCTTTGTCCCCGCAGCGAGGAAAGTGGCCAGGATGCTGCATTTGTCTGGTACTCACCGAGCTGCTGTGGTGTTAGCATTGTTTTGCTCCTTTAATCCACCCCGTGATGACACCGATGTAGGCTACAGTGTCAGGGCAGCAGAGCAAAGCAAGGCTGGTCTGCCCTGGCTGGGCTACACGGACGGAAGCCGCCAGAATTTCTGTGAGTGAAAACCAAGACTGTTCATTGTTTTCTGATTTCCCCAGCTTAGCAAAGAGACAAATTTATAAAAATGCATGAGAATTCTTATAAAACTTAATCATTTATAAATCAAGTATAAATTCCCTATTATATGCAAAACTCTTTCACGAGCATTCATACTAAATGTTCACACTGCACCAAAGAATTAGTTTTACATTGTGAACATCAGTTTTTGTCTCTTGGGCTTGGTTATACTTTTTAACAATTGGTAGTTTATGAATATTAAAATACACTCAGACAACTAGCTTAGCATTGTATGAAGAAAGGTATATTTCAGGAGAACAGGATCACATTTTTTGCTAAGTAAGATGTTGAAATAATATCTCTTTATTTAATTCAGTTTCCTCGGTCCACTGGATGTTTATGTTGCTTTGTAAATTGCTTCTTTTTAAACAAACTGTCAAATATTCTTTAACATTCGAAGTATTGGTGACTGCTGACATGAAATTCTTTGCAAATATCATCATATGTTTAGTAAAATTTTTAAACTGAATATTCACAATTTTTCAAGCTTCTGATCACATGAAAATTTCAAGCAGATTTTGCAAACCATCAAAGTTATAAAATAGTTATACACAGAAAATGTATCAAATAGCTAACTTGGGAAATAAAACTACTGATTTGACCAAGACTTCTTTGAGCGATGACATAAAGCACAAGTCTCCCTGCAGCTGGTGATGCCTTTGCTTCCTGACTTCCCCGGTGGGGGCTGCCCCAGCGCATTGCTGCTGGTTTCCCTGCCCTTCACGTCCTCAGTCCACAGCTCCTGTAATCAGCATGTACATCTGGCCAGTAGCTGAGGTAAGCAGCTCAACTATGGAATCTGGAACTAAGGAAAGGCCTTAGACAGAGTCCAGCATCCCCTTACCCCTTCATGGGACAGATCTTTCTGAGCTCCCCTGGCTCCTCAGCTGCATAGCCCCTAATCAGACCAGGTCTCTTGGGGCTGAAACTCCCCACATAAGATCCAGTGAGGACATGGGGGACCACCTAGGTACAAGTCACAACACTGTCCATGGGCCCTGGACTACCACCCACCCAGAGGGGTTAGGTCACCCCCTATCTTCTGATTTACAACTTCCCTGGGAAAAGGTTAGGGCCATTAGGGAAAGTTGGAAGCAGACATCCTAAGATCGCTAGGAAGACATTGTTCTAAAAAGCACTGTCAACAAATGAAAAAATAAATTTCATCAAGTACCCAACAACTTCAGAGAAGAAAATAGAAGATACAAAGAACGTCATAGATATTTCTGGTGAAAACATAGTAACTGAAATACAGCTTCATGTCTAGGGCCCAAGAGTGCTGGCTGGAAGCACTGGAGGATCCCAAGTGAGTGGTGGGAAGGACACTGCCAGGAAACAGGGGACCCAGCCTCTGGGCCACAGAGGTTGCAAAGTAGTGCCACATCTCAGGCCACTGGACCAGCAGCGACAGGGTTTTAAAAACTGAAAAACAAATATAAAATGTGTTCTGTTGGCACTGTTAACACAAATGAGAAATCAGTAATTGAAAGATAAAAGCGAAATCCCTCAATACTCAGAAACAAAGCAGCAAACTTCCAAACACTGCAGGGGTCAGGAAGCAAGTGTCAGGGGGTCTCACAGGACACCCCGTGCTGTGCAAAGCAAGAAGGGGCATCACGGAACTAGGGAGACACAAAGCAGGTGAAAAGGGGGCGCCAGCCCTAACAACTCCAACCCTAAAAGAGAGACAAGTCCTCTAGTGAAAACCTCGTGTGAAAATGCTAGAAAAGGAGAAATAAATAAGCTCATTGTGAGGGGATGGATGAAAATACGATACTACAAATCATTGAACTTTAACTGAATAATACAATAGAAAAAACCAGTGAGACATGCAGCCTTCACTGAGAACAATAACATTGTGCAGACTATGTAGATGCATAGCCAAGTAAAAATAAAAATAAAACACAATTTGGAAAATTTTAAATTCAAAGTAAAAGCCAGGCTCCCACTATCAGGCCTGCAAAATATGAATTGTGTACTAAGGGAATGTTAGAACAAAATGACATACATATTTTTATAATGTTTAGTAATTCCCACAAACCTACAAAAACCACTCCACTTAATATGAGTAGCTTGAGTAAACCTATCGTAAGGAAATAGATTTACATTTAAAGACTTTACTGTCCATTCTCATAACTGAAGTATCCTTGTAAACACTGAAGAGATTAACGATGCTTAACACAGTCATCCAGAAAATCAGAAGAGTCATTTTGCTGTCCCTGTGTTGCTCAGTCACCCACAGCAGAGAGACACATTAAAAAAAAAATAACTTCTAACATCACTCCAGAATACAGCTGGGAAAACCCTCCACAAATTCTCATCAACATAACTTGAAAGTCTATAAAGACTTTCAGACTTAAAATGAACGAATGTTACAAAGATTCAGGACTGGTACATGTTTCAAAAATTAATTAGAATCTTGCAATGCATTAACA